CATGATGTCACTTTTTCCTTCCTAGTTTAACTTAGTGCACTAGTAGTACACAGCAGTAATATCTTGCCTATTGCTTAGCCGTTTTGTATTCCTCAGCAAAATATTTCACCAGGATGCGTTCAACCAACCATAGCTTTCATAAAACTTTAAGGAGAGGTAAATACTGTTGGAGATGTTTGCACTTATTTAGGCTTCTACTAACCCATGTTGTCCTACCTCATTTTTGCCTCAGTCTTTCCAGGAAAGTTCCTGGTATTTTCCCCAGTCAGTTTGCTCCCACTTTCTGCAGTCCTAATTTCTCTTGAATTGTAATCACGTCTACTGATTAACTGAACACATTGTATTTCCTCATTAAGATGACATGATCAGCTACTCTAGTATATATCCTAAAACAGTCACAGTTCTTCCATTATAGTACATTTTCTTAAATTGATACTTTCTATTTATTCAAGTTATTACATTGACAAAAGTCATATGAAGTAAAAATAATTTAATCTGATATCATTTCAATAGCTGTATGAGTTGGGACTCTACCAAACAAACAAAAATGCAATGAAAATCAATAAAACAAACAAGAATTTACTCGATTTTAGACAAATTATTTAAAGGTGACTTCAAAGATTCTATAAATGAGCATTAATGACTCTTTAGACATAAGAGAAGGCATAAATGTTTTAAAAGAACCAAAGAAATATAAATGAAGCAGTCAAAAAGATAAAAACAACTTTAGTGAATTTGGACTTTTAAGTAAAGACTAAAAAAATGAGGTGATAATACTTTAGGACACAAACTATGTTTTACAAGTTTCTAGAGACTTGATTTATTTATCCAGTAAACTGATTGGGTTCATATGTGCCTATAGGGTAATAGACAAAAATAAATAAACAAAAATCTTATCATTGTCCAGAACTTTTAATGATTGATATGGTTCTAGGCATTAGCATAGGACACTTAATTTTTGTGGGCTCAGATGACATTGCTTTGCTGGATGGAATAAGTATTTTGAATCAATATTTAGGACAAATATAGAAATTATAAATTAAAATATATCTTCATAATGACTATTATTTTACTTTATGAGTAGAACCATCTTGAGTTTCCAATTTAAAATTTTTAATTTAGTGAGTGAGTGCATGAATGTATCTAATTTTAGATCGAAAGGCATAAAATTTTTAGTAGGTCTGCAAATAATAACAGTACATATTTATTAGATAAATGACATACTAATACACTAATTTTTATATTAAATTTAGAGCCTATTTGAATATTAAAAAGTAGCTCCTACATCATCATGTTCTGTAAAATGAAGTTTACTCAAAGTACAACAGAGTTACCAATAGGTACCTCTCTGAAGTCCTGGCTTCTTATCATTTTGCATAAAGGGAATGAGTATTTCCTGGTACAGTGAGGCTTGTAGTGCATGCAGCTCCATTAAATATTTCTGAAATCAGTGATGAAAGTGAATGCATGAAATTGTTACAATCCTGTTTACTAATACTATTTAATGACATTAGAAAGGCTAGTGAAACAAAAGCAACTAAGAAAAGACCACATAATATATATTTAAAGAGAGTTCATATCTGGATTCTATAAAGAGTACTTATATATATTTTAAAATACACTATATATAAAATGTATGGGTTTTTTTTGTTTTTTTGTTTTTTGGCTAGTGTAATTAGTTTATGGTCATGTTAAATTCAGAGAAGTCAAGGTCAATCACCAACAATTAAGTCATTCATATCATATATATAATTTATGACAAGGCAAAATGAAATTGTATAGGTTATATACTATATATAAGCCACAACTAAATTTTACAGGTTATATACTATACATAGTCATGCAAAATTATTGTGCACAACACATACATTTACTTCTCTTTCATAGGACTTAAAATATAATTTTAAAGTTATTTAATTTTCCACATTGTTAGGTACTGATTTATTGAATGCCAGTTTTTACATAATTCTTACATAAATTTAATAGACTACCACAGTCTAGGAATTTACTAAAGAACTAGATAAGGCTAGATTGTACTGCATTTGCTACTAATATGAAAGGAAAATATACATAAAGACAGTAAGAAAAATGGAAAGTACCAGTACATATTAAACACTTTGAAAAATACATGTGAATATAATGAGAAAATGAAAATATATTAAATAAGGAAATAAATGCTAACATTTGATATAAGTATGTATATCTTTTGCATTTTCAATTCTCATTATGCTATGAGCAGTTTTTCATCATTTTATTCTATAAAACCCAATTTAAACTTTCTATATAGCATTCTATGTCATACATCTTGCATATATATTCATGTGCCACATAACAGCATTTAGTCAATGAAAGATTGCATCTATAGTGGTGGTCTCAACATTTTACTGAGCTGAAATTTCCTATCACCTAGTGATGTAGGTGTGCTAAAGTCAAAGTAAAATACCATACTCTCATGCTTGTGGTAATGCTGTTGTATACAAACCTACCTCACTGTCAGTCGTATAAAAGTATAGTAATACAATTATATGCAGCACATAACACTTGATAATGATGATAAATAATTATTACTGGTTTATATACTTACTATACTTTTGTTATTTTAGGATGTATTTCTTATTTTTTTTAAGTATATTGTAAAATAGGATGCTGTGTTATGCTGGCAGTAACCTCCTGCATCTCTTCTTTACCACATCCATTGATTGCTTCAAGAGACCCCGTCAAACAGCTGAACTCTACATCTAGAACTATATAAATATACTCTATGATGTTTGCACAGTGATAAAATAAAATAACAGCACATTTCTCAGAACATTTGCCTTTCTTTAAGTGACACATGACTGTATATTGAAACACTGTTAGACATTTAGATTATTTCCAAATTGTTGTTGAAAATGGCTTGCTGAACACATCCATATATAGATATATGGCCAAATTTCTATTTGCTTAGAAGAGACCTGTGCTTTAAAAAATATTTGAAAAGGACTTTCTATATTGCTACCTAATACATAACTTAATTTGAAACAGGCTAACAAAATACTGCCTGCACATACATATGATTTACTAGAAGTACATGTCAGTAATTTGTGATTCATATGAGTTTTCATACCTCTATCATTATGTAGTATTAAATTTGCTTTTACATTATTAAACTATTAGCTAACCATTTTACCCCCAAAATTGTGCTAAAGTAGCACTCGTTATATCCCTTTTAAAAGTAAGATATACTTTTAACTAGAAGAGGCCTATATTTTGGAATTTGAGTCCAAAGTATAATGACTAAGAGGTATTGTGTTTGAATTCAGATAGATTAGACCATTAAGTTTGAGTCTGGAATCCATAAATCAGAAATGTGGATTACAGAATGTTTCAAACCAAGTTTAAAAATAAAAGGCTGCAAAACACAGAGCACATAAATAAACAATACTAACTACATCTGTTCTGTTTAATTCATTTACTGGCTTTCAATGTATAGAAAGTTAACACCAGCTTTTCTCAGCATTCAATAAATTCCCAAGTAGAGAAAGATTAAGGACAATGAAAGGATTATAATAACTAGGGTAAGTCAAACTTAGTCTTACCAAAAGAAAATGCCAAAATTTCTGGCATAACTAGAAATGGTATAAAATCTCATCTGTCATTGCCAGTATAGAACTTGAATGAAAGAGAGCATTAAGAGAAAAGACAAGTGATAGCATATTATTACTCTGCTAAATTCCAACAACTGAAGTTTATAGTGGCTAAAGAATAACTAAATTCTTGCTGCAGGACTTTTTAGGAAATAGAAGAGGCCTAGGACCACCCCTGCCCAGGTGAAGGAACAGTTTTATCTCATTTGTGGTTAACCAAGTATCTACTGTCTTCACTTAGACATATCTTTCAGTATGTTTGCATTATTTCAAGACTAATAATGTCTTATTAATAAGTTGAAGGACAATTTTGCTGTCCATGAAGAGGAGCAGCAAGAACTGATCCAGGTTTACCCTATAATTAAAATTTCATCTATATTTCTAATTTCTTTGTGTGCTAACTCTCAAATTAATTGGGATGGGTGAAGCTAGGAGACACTTTATGTGACTGACAAGTTTTTTGAGGGCAGGAAAATTTTTCTTTTATTTCAGTCTCCTAGTTAGCAGTATCAGACACATGGAAATAGTCAGTGAATGTTCAACTAAACTGAATGAGTATAAGAAGAAGAAAGATGTCAGCTGGTTCCAGCAGGTCCCAAACCCAGTTTCCAACCTTAATATTTACTGGCATAGTGCATGGTCTATACCTCTGGAACACATACCATACACAAGTACACTAGTTAGTATACACACACCACAGATTCTAACTTCTCCTGGAAGTCCATGATTTGTGGTTGGCGTTCTTTTAACCCATTTCTCTCTTTAATATAAAACACTACTATCTTGGAATAAGTACTCTGGGAAAAAGAAATTTCTAGATGTTTCAGTGATATCAGAGATTTGTAGCCTCTGCTGATTTACCAGAGCTGTTGGAAATTTGGCCTTTTCAATTTACTTCGAAGTCAGTTAACTTGCCACCATGGAACATTTGATAGCTTAAACTATTTAAAATCCTTTGCAATGGTTACTATTATAACTCAGAAATTATTTAGCCATGAAGAAAATGACTCAGGTAAAAATAAATCAATCTGTACACAAAATAAGTGTTTTCAATAACCAAAATGACATCTCAAAAATAAGAGATCAATTTCAAGGAATGATAGTATTTTGATAAAAAACAATGAGGGGATGATGAAATATGACATGACTAAAGAGAGTAAAACAGAATGCTGAAAAGATTATAATACTTTAAGATGACCAATTATAAACAAGGTAAGTTATTTAGATATTAGTATGCTTGCTGATTCTGTGTCAATGTTTAATTTTACTGAGTTAATGTTTTCCTTTTTGACTATGCAAACATTTGTAATTTTCCTGATGCTCCTTGACATAAATATTTTTCTCCCTCTCTCCATTTTTAACTTAACAGAAACGATGCTATCCTCTATCAACAGAGATGTGGACTCCCAAAATATGTTGGAATTCATTCATAATTTGCCACAAGAGTTGAAGGCAGCACTGTCCAAGAGGCAGCCATCATTACCACAGCTACAACAATATGTACTTGCATTAAAGCGTTCAAATGTTGGATTTCAAGAGCTTAAGAAAACTATTCATAACAGACAATATGAAGCAGAAGATGATAGTCATTCTGTATTAAAATACTTAGGGTTGAATACTCATTCACCAAAAAGACAGTTTGATATGTCAATGAGTGAGAAATGTTGCCAAGTTGGTTGTACCAGAAGATCTATTGCTAAATCATGCTGAGATGAAGTTAATGGTGTATATCTCATCAAATTTCCACATATATTCTTGATGATATTTCTCTGACGCTTCTTTCTGGCTCCTTTGATTACAACACATAGGGCCAGGGATTTAGCTCAGTGGTTCTTTCACCTGCCTAGCAAGTGCAAGGTCTGGAGTTCGATCCCCTTCTATGAAGCCATCTCGAGGAGATTCACATTCACAACTTTCAAGGCACAAAGGCTTTGCATGTCCCTTGGTCTGGTGGTCTGGTGTCCTCTGCGTCTTTGTAGTGTGGAATCAGGTGGCTGCCTGTCTGCAGTGGGGTGACTCGGTGTCTTCCGCGCGACTCAGGAACTTGGTAGGGCGTGCACAGACCTGCCTGTCTGAAGCGGGCCGACTTGACCTGTGTTCCGCGCGACTGGGGACCTGGGTAGGGTGTGGGCAGACCTGACTGTCTGCAGCGGGGTGATTCGGAGTCTTCAGCGCGACTCTATAATATGTATGTTTTTAAGTGGAAATTAATTCAATCTTTTTTTTCTTATTTTAATACCGAGGAATAAATTCAGCAAAACCTCTCCTTTCTAACAAACAAATTTTTTCTTTTTCCCAAAAATCACAGTTGTAAATAAAGTATGAAAAGAATATTTATTTACAAAAAGAACTTTAAAGATTTCTCTATATTTTCAGAAATGTAAAGCATTCACATGTAAAGTAAAAAGGAAAAATCCTCATTTTTCTATCCTTTGCATTATGTAAATTGTGTGGTTGGGTTTGTGATGAATCTCCTTAAAATATGCATTTTTTAAATGAAGAAGAAATTTTATTTTAATGGATTGTAGGCACTATTTTACTTTAATTTACTATAGGGACTAGTATGCCTACAAAATGTAGTTTGTTTTCATTCGTGCACGTTGATGGAGATTATCCAAAGAAATCTCCCTAAATGCAGTGTCAAATAGCACAATCTTTGGTAAACATCCAGTAAAACTTACCTTTTTAGCAGCTCAATATGGAACTGAGTTTCCCTGACCATATCTCATGACTATGTAAGTCCTAGCACTCTGTATGTATTGTTTGTGTACAGTGTTGTGATATTAGTTGTTGTTGTAGGTCTAGCAATGGTGGCAAACTTAAGACAGGTGAAACATGTGTGTTGTTTTCCTTTGAAAACAGAAGATGTTAATGTATGAGTTTTTTTTTCTAAAGTAAAATCTCAGTATTCAGGTTTAATTGCAATGTTAGAATTTTGTGATTAATGAATGGGTTTGGGGTTGCAGTTTGGGCACTCATCTTTAAAAGATTCACCCTCTTTGGTCTACAGCCTAAATGTCATGATTATGAGGGGTCTAGAGCCTTGGTTATTGTGACAGTTCTAGAAAATTTACCCTGAAGTGGATGAATATTTCCATTCTAAGTCATCCTGAAAAAGGCAAAGCCTAAAGGAAGAAGCTAGGGTTCCAGGAGACACACCAAGCACTAGGTGGTAGGTGGTAGATTTGGGAGAAGGAAACATTTCTCAGTGGGAATCATGCTTGGGTCACTTTCCATGGTAATGATAGAAGGAAGAGGAGGTAGAAGAAACCATAAATGTTCTGATTCAGTAAAAATGCCTTCAAAAGCAGCCCACAAATCTATATGTGTATGAAGCCCTCCTACCCTCTGTCACCACCCTGTGATTCTAACAAAGATAACCTGTCTATTTTAAGAGATACTAAATTTAAAGGAAGGGAAATTTAGCACATAAGATGAAACCACACAATTAGACAATAAAAATAGATTTTAAAAATGCATCATTGTCTATCTTCTTTCCTATATAAAAAAAGTAAATCTGCTGGAGAGCTGTATAATAAAAGAAGTACAAAATTGTAGTCTTTTGTATGTAATAGCTGACATACAATTTCATAAGTGTGACTTTGAGGTGAACATAAATTAACTTAGTGTCTTCATTATGTTTGACTTTAGGGGAGTCCGACTATCATGACGTGAACTCATTGTCTTTAGTTTATAATTAACATAGGAAAAGTAAAACAATTGCCTTGGCTATCTCTCAATCAAAGCATGAATAAGTCATGTCAGAGGAACAAAGGATGAAAAACAAAGTTTTTCCACATCTCTTTTTCCACATTAACAGTTCATACTTAAACATTACCATACGATGTGATGATCTTACTGTAATAGTAGTTTTCTCTTGAACCCTTCTACATTATCGGTGGGAATGTAAACTAGCACAACCACTATGAAAATCAGCATGGGATTCTCCTAAAAACTAAAACTCGAAATTGCATTTAACCTAGCTTTCCCCTCCTACATATTTTCCCAAAAGAGTTAAAGATGTCACTATTACAGTGATACATATATACTCATGTTTATAGAAATTATAACTAAATCTTGGAAGCTGCCTATATGTCCATGAACATACGATAGATAAGAAAAAAGTGGCATATTTATACACAATGGAGTACTACTCTGCAATAAAGCAAGAGAAACTCTAGTCATTTGTAGGAAATTGGATGCACCTTGTGAATATAATGTTAGCGAAACAAACCAGACATGCAAACTTAAATATCACATGGTTTCTCTTGTATTAGAAACCCAAATTATGAATAAAGAGTAAAATAAAATATAGAGGGCCGGGGATTTAGCTCAGTGGTTTCGCCGCCTCCTGCGCAAACGCAAAGACCCAAGTTCGATCCCTGGTACCAAA